GGGGGGGGGGGAGGAGGGTGGCTCGGGGTGCAACGACGGGGGAGGGCTGGAAGACGTCTCGAATGATAAGGCGATAAAGAGAGAAGGTATAAAACGAGACAAGGGGACTGGTGTGCAAGCGACAACATCTCCCGCTCGCCATAAAGAGGGGGGCCGTGCCGTCGCCATTGAATTTCCGGAAGGCACAGAAATATTCATCTGCCGTAGAAAAGCGAATCTGTGTCACTGCGCAGAAAGAAGAAGAGACGTCGAGTCGCGGCGCGAAGAAGAATAAGAGAAATGAATATATTTTTTCTTAAACGCACAAAGCGGTAATTTCGTGCAGCTGGGAAGAACGAAGAAATTGCATGAACGCGCGAAATTGCGTGACGTAACATTTGCGAGAATAAGACGTATCATAAAAAAAAAAGTTAAGTGAGAAAATGGTGTCAAGGGGGTTAGAATTAAGAAAGAGTATTTGAATTATGTTCATTTAACAAATTTCTACAATTAGGACAAGTTGCGAACTCTCTCGAATCGATCTTGAAATAATTCGAAATAAAAAACGAGGAAATCAATTCGCGAAATTATAAAAACGTCCTTTTACTAAAAAAAAAAATAAGGGACACAGTTTTCGAATTTGGGATAAAGGGGCAGGGCGCGGTAAGATGTTGCAAAGGGAAAAAGAAAAAGGCAGCGCTGAGAGAATGTTTGGGAGGAATTGTTGCACGATTACTTGTTACTCTCGAGATACGTATGCGCTCTGTTGAAGTAACGCGCTGGGATTTGCGGTCGATTCGTGCGCGACAAGGAACAAATACCGTTACCACTGTATCTCGGGGAACATAATGAGGGATCACTTACTACGGAGTGCAGATAAGCGGGCGCGATCGACTGTCACGCGGCCCCATTATTAACCGCACAATAAATTCGCTCTCCAGCGATGTCCGTCAATGAACGAGATACAGCGATCGACTGTCGTTCCGGGGGCCCTTTATCGTCACTTCGTCACACGTTCTGACATTCACGTGCCGTGAATGGGTCTTTTATCGCCCAGCGCCGACAAGAACCGACAAGAAGCTACAAAGGACGACGGTGTTTCCTTTTTTTCGAGCAATTCAACGCCAAATTAACGCAGGAACCCCATACTCGATACACGCTGCTCAAAATAATTAGAGGTGTCACTTTTTCAAGTGTCTCTAAGTTGCTTATAAGTTTCTGATGCTTTTTGGCAGAAGTTTTTCAACGATATGTAGCGTGCAATCGACGGAAGGTCGGAAGAAATTATCAGTCGGTTGCATACTATCTCATATAATAGTTTGATTATACTATGACATGTTCTTATTCGATTTTATATGTGAGAGATTTTTCTCATAGATTTTGGACGAATTTCGAACACTTGTAACTTCTTATTGATCACAGTTATTTAATTACATTTACTTAATTTTCCGAGATTTGCACACGGATTACTTGGCGTTAAGGTTCGAATTCTGCGATCCGAAATTTGCGAGCAGAGGATGGCAAGGAGGACATTTGCACAAAACACGGCAGGGCGGACTAAGTGACTTTTCACGATTCCGACGTCACCGAGGATAGGGTGTAGCGGAAACGGGGTAGTGGTGGTAGTAGGCGAGGGGTAACATTTCGCATCTTACTCTCCGTTACGGCTTCTTCCTCCCTCGTCGAGCATAAGGGGGGTGCCACGCGACCGCTGATTATACCATTCATCGACTGACACGGTCCGAAAGGGGGTTGCGAGCGTAAACGCCGTAACATCTAATGTACCCCCTTCTTGTTTCCCGCCTACTACGACCCTGAATGCTCGTTCATCAATGAAACAATTCGGTTCCTCAACGTTCCACCGTTGGCATCTTAAGATCACCTTCTCTCCTACGCTGAACCCCCCTATTAATTGCAACATCCACCTGATAGGCACGTGTGCGCGAAATTTTACCATTCGTGTACGTAACTGCCCCCTTTTAAGCCTCGGATAATATCGTATCGCACTCGACGTGCCTTCCAGATCGGCCACGAGGGCAATAGTGACGTCAATCATTAATATCGAGCGGCACGTTTCGGAGAACGCAATGCCCGATGATTTTGGTATGCGACATGACGTTTATTTATTTCTTTAATTTTTAATGATAGAACGAGAAGCGCTACATATAAATGCTTTGATTTTACATAGAATATTTTCACAAATCCGTGAACACGTAGCTCAAACGTGACAAAATTTTAGGATTGGATAAGGAAAGTTTTGTTTCTAAGCGCAAAGAAAAAATTGTCATTATTCTGGATGATAAATTTCATGCGCTTACGCAGAAATCGCAGAAATCGCGGTGGCACAAAAACAATGCATGTGACAGAGCAGGACATGATCAGTAATGATTGCTGAAGCGACAACAAACGCGCTCCACGAGGAAGGGGTTGACAGAAGTCGAGAGGGGTGAAGACGACAGGGGGCGGTCGAGAGTAGGCGACGGTGTGGCGTCGAAAAGCTCGCTGATTACTCTATTGTCGAGCCGGTTGTTTCAGTTAATCGCAACGCGCCGTAGACTTTTGTTGTCCTTTTATGCGTTTGCAGCCTACATTCAGTCTAATGCATCCATCTTAATGCCGTTAATGCAATCGAGAGTTACATTTTTTAAGAGAGAATGAGAGGAAGAAGAACAATTTTTGACAGTAAAATTGCTCCAAAAAGTATATTCCCCCTCGGGATGACAAATTCGTTAAAATCTGTTGCCCAAAATGTACACAAATGATACTGAAAATTATACTAATTTAGACGAGGAAAATTGTAGTTAAGTCGGAGTTATAGTTTTTACCGAGGGATCCATACTTCGCCTCGTAATTTTTCCAAATCTAGATTTTGTTTGAGAATCTGCAGAGATTACATCCCGAGGTCACATCACAGGACACGGATGATATCTTAGAGAGTACCGTGA